AGAAGTATAGTAGGATAATAGATATCATAAAAAATAATGAAAGCTTTAAATAGTGTTTAATCAGAATTGGGCTAATTGGGCTACATCAGGCATTTACAGAATGTATCTTTTTGACATTGCCATAAAAAATACTTATAAAAGAAATCTAAGATGAATATTGATATTTAGAGAAAACATAATTATAATACATATTACTACTTGTGAAATAGATTAAGATTTAAAATAATATTAATTAAAATTTGATTAATATAAAGCTTAACATTGCTCGAAATAACTTTATATGCAGACAATAAGTTTTATAGTAAGCCTCTTCAAAAGTAATACAAATTAAAAAAAAAGATAAGCGTAAGATTATCGTAGTAAAGATTAATAAAATTAACTAATGTGAAACTTCTTAATCATACAAAAAAACTAATCAATGTTTAAGAATTATAGGATTTACTATTTTTGATCTATTACAAAAAACTTAAACTCCAAAACAATCCCCCAATTTTTTGTAAATGGGCAATTTTATTTCAGAGTATCACTTTTTTCGAATTTAGTTCCTCGACTATACAAAATAGATCTAAAATAGTTCATAAATTTTATATAATCAAATGACAAATTTAGGATCAATTTTGAAATATGGTTTTACATAAGGAATCATTTTACAACAATTTTATATGGTGAGAATAAATTGAAGAAATGTGATACTCTAACTAAATCTACCACAGAAGAATAATCGGTAGGATATTTTGGAAATTAACCTATCATAAAAAAAATAAGGATAAATAACACACGACTATAGAATTAATGTTGAGTAAACTGAAATGGAGGAGAAGTGATTTAAGAAAACCATTTGATAAGAAAATATCATGCGGAATTAAAAGCTAAATCATAAAAAACTACAAAAAAGCAATTCATGTTGTATAAATTTGAGTATGCATGAAAGAGTAAATGATAACTAAGTGGAGTGTGGTAAAACTGAGAATAAAAGGATGTGTGATAAAAACTTAAATAATAAAATGATAATACTAGAGAGATGATTTGAGCACCCCAATTTGAAGAAGACATGGTAAAGAATAAAGTTAAATGGCTTGGTTAAATCCAATGGAGAGTTAATGGCATCAAGCTGAGTTGGGGCGATGGAATTAATGTAGAAGGGATATTAATAAAAATGGAAGGATCAAAGAACAACATTGCTCTAAGTTATGCAAAAAGATTTGCATAAACTAGAGTTAACAAGTTATAAGTAGTTAAGATACAGACGATGATTATGGTTGTAACCTAAAATAAAGGTGAATAAGAAAAAAATACATAAATACAAAGCACATCCTGATGTATAGATGTTTCTTTCTTAAAGCAAAATATTAACTAGACAATAAAATATGTACAATAAGAGAAAATGCAACAAAAGACCAAGGATGCAACACCCTATAAATCATGAAAATCATAAAATTATTTGATTGGGTCGTCTAGTTTAATGCTTGGAAAATATAAATGAGCACTGATAGAAATTTTTTCTAACTCCTGCCTCTTTTGATATAAAGAAAATGAAATCTATTATGCGCAGAGAATTAACAATTTGGACGCTCCAATCTGAATCGGATAGCTACCAAGATATATTATCATTATTGTGTTCATAAATATGATACAGCTGAGGAGTATCAAAAGCTTGAGGATTATTTAAGTGATAATATTAGTAGATAATGAGGTGGCAAACACCAAGGGACACAACATTAGCCGCTTTTTGTAGAAGAAATTGGAATTGGATCCATCTTTTGAGAATAAATCTAAGCTTATGGAGAATCTTCCATCATTTCAGTAGAAAGTTGAATATGATCTTCTAGTGAAAGTTTATTTGCTTGATATTTAGAATTCCTCGGCTTAGGATAAATCTTACAACAATTTAAACTTTTATGCAAGAAAATATGGCAAGCATAATATGCAATGATATTCTTAAATTACAACAATTTGTCAATACCCAGATAATGGGTACCCAATTTACACCTCAAAAATGGGATGTGACATCCCATTCCATCAAAAATCAAGCCACAAAAAATTTGGAAAGAAAAGTTGGCATGGCAACCACATGTAATTTTATTTAAAAAATAGAAGCTCTAGAGAATAGGATAGACTTGTTGAAGTAATACAGACAAATATAAGAAGATTCAATCCAAACAAGAGTGACGGGATTTCATAGAGCAATTAAAATGGAGGGACTATTTCAGTATATACTCATTAGATATTAGTTGATATAATATAGGCGTCGGGAACCAAAAAAAGATTTAATATGCTTCTAAAGAAAGTTTATAATGATATATAGAGAATCGATGAGCCCAACGGAGCAATCACCCATCAAATAAAAATCAAGCATAAATTTATGAATGCCTCCATATTGGGACAACCAACAAGAACTTGCCAAAAATTGATATAGTGAGCGGCGTGTCGAGAATAGAAATCTCCACATTAAAGAAGAGGAGAGCATATTTGCCAATGATAAGGTGAAGGCTATTTCTGTTAAAGTGTTTATGAATCCTGAAGAAAAAAATGAAACCGTGTTAAGTGAAAAGGGATTGAAAACTAGCAGCATTTGAATCGTGAACAAAATTAGCAAATGAGTGTAAAGAATGTCAAATAAGAGCAAAAAATCATCGAAAATGATATAACATGAGCCTCAAAAATGTTAAGGCCACTTAGAATAAGATATTACCTCACAGAGGGATCAACCACAGCATGCAATTAATGTAGGAGCAGGAGGAGGTGGGATCTGATAAGATGCCAGGGTATGAAGAGGAACCAAAGAAACTAGGATGATAAAAGATACCCCATCTAGAGCCAATAAAAGCGCAAAAAGAGCATGAAAGAAACAAAGAGCAAAAATTCATAGCTGGAGAGAAGAATTAAAGATAAAGATAGAACAAGGGTCATTGTAAGTGCCAAAGGAACTTAAAACAAATGATATTTTGAGGCCTTAACATGAAAGACAGTCCAAGGGGAGCTACCCAACTCAAAAATGTGGCGTGAGATAAGGGAAGGTGATCCCTACTTGTAGCAACAAAGATGCATGGGAAATTGCTCGCACAAGAAGATGAAAGAGTTGGGCAAGCACTAGATGAAGCATGTGATAATCATGGAGCACACGGGTCGAATGCTGGATTATAGTACAAGATCGCCCGTAGACGCCATTGGCAAGGGAATGAGAATAACACAGTGCTGCAATGAATGCTAGGGTTCGCCCACACAATAGACAAAGACAATTTGCAACCAACATAAGGTATGCATGAATGTATGTGTTTACATACAAGGTTATAAATGCTATACTTTCTGTAAACAAGGTTTCATTCCAACTTCTATAATCAATTATGTTACCCATAAGGGCAAAACGAAAATGTAGAGGTACACAGTAGCCTCACTCTAATTGATTGTGTAAATTAGAGAGGCATTCAATGGGTTAAATTGCATCACATGAGCAATGGGATTAGATACTCTTTGAAACAAAAGGCAACAATTCATCTATCAAAATGTAGAATTTTATTGTTTTGTAATGCATTTAGAAAATATTTGGAATTAGTCATTGTTTAAAATTGAGTAATAAAAAGCACATCTCGGCATTTTTTTAGCCAAACTGCAATGAGGCTTAAAGCTTAGAAATTCACGATGACTGTGTACACTTCACTCTTACGAGGGCACATCTCGCCTTGCTATGTGCAAGGCCCACTTAATAGTGTCTAGAATTATCCTTTTTAACAAATCTTAACTACATCATGCGATCATGACTAACATGACCCCTAGTGCAACTAAAAGCTAAATAATCAAGTTCACACAAAAAGGAGAAATCATTTGACAAATTTAAGAATGAATTTCTCAGTATATATAATATATAATGAGAGATTAAATGATAAAGATCTGAAGAAAAACAATTTGAAGGATGACAAGAATTTCTACTATATGAAGATATATCATCAAATTATGATAATGAGATCATATTGTCAAAGTTATAACAAGAACATTTGAACATTAAATTCTTTAATGGAGACAAAAAATAAGACTAATACAATAAACACAAGACAACAATAGATAAAAAAAATAGAATCCATAAAAATTTAAGTATTTCAAATTATCTTAAACTTTAATAAATATTATCAAATTTATTATTAATTAGTACTGATAAAGGAAGAAGAAAAATGGGAAAACATAGACTAAACTGAAAAAGAGGCAAGAAACAATGTTATTCATTATGATGAAAGTATCAAGGGCTTTTGATTATTTAGTATATTATTATTTAGATCTCTGAGAATTTTTATGTTGAACAATATAAGTGAGAGAAATTTATTATGCCAAACTTATTATATGTGTTATTTTACTTCAAAATTTTACGTAAATTTTATTTGATGTATATTATTAATTTGATTAGTTGTTGCCTACATTATACTTTTATTTTGTGCAAATTATTACATGATACTTTGTAGCATATATAATTTGTTTTTTGAAAAGGCACAATTTATCACTCATTGCTATATTAGGATGTTAATATGTATTCCTTCAATACATTTATAATCTATGGTACTAATATATTAATTTTTACATTCGGTTTGACTCTACATAATTTTCAAACAACGCCTCACAAACAAAAAACACCTCAATATGAATTGCATGATTTTAAACCATAAAATTAATCATTTTAATAAATTAATTTCTATTTTTATTTGCATGCAGATATATTTCCTACATTTCTAACTAGATGGGATTACTGAAATTGAAGTAACATAGCATGGTTAATATTTATGTCTCATTTAGTTATATGAATTCATATGCTAAGCGTGCACTTTCTATTTGGGAATGCAGCCATCACAAGAAATTTCAAAGCTACTTATCAGAAGGTTTAACAATTACGTACAAAACATAATGAAAATGTGCAATATTGTAAATTTGCAAATCATTACGACAAAAAATTGTTACAATTTATTTGCAATTTAATGATATCATGATAGGTTATAGAAGTGACCAATTAGACTTACTGCATCTTCCATTGTTGAACGCCACCCTTGCATAGAAGATACCCCATATCTAACTCGTTCATTCTCACCATCTTCAGAAAATTTCTCAATTTTTGGAGTACTGAGATATATACCCATCACTGCATAAGGTCAACAAGAGAATGCATATCAGTGGAAAAAAGAGAAATAAAACAAAGATTGAGAAAAATGGTACAGAAGTTAAACATTAGCAAGTCAGCAAAAACTAACCAGGTCAGCATAAACCTCAAGGCAAAAATAGTGAGTAGCTGCTATCAAATAGATTTAGCTCAAAAGTCTGTTTTGTATAAGATGAGAGAAGGTATTTTTATACAGTCCAAAAATTAAGGCTTTTAAGAAAAGAAAACATCATCCATCCCAATGTGACCTGGAAGAAGCTGAAAAATAAGAAAATATCCTTAAGAAGATAGCTTTCAAATAGCTAGCAATCACAAAGATTAGCCATATCTCAACAATTTGGGTAGGCTTGATGGTTTGGGTCATGCTATTATAACCAAAATTCAGATGCCAAATAAACATTTTGGATTATCTTACTGATGGATTAAATATAAAGAACCAAACTTATGCTCTTCATGAAATTGGAATAAGAATTTCAGATGAAAAAGCATTTTTTATGTTACATTTAGCTTCCCAAGTCATTAAAATTGCCTTTTTCCAATTTAAGGGCAACAAAGCACATTCAACTTTTCCCCTAACTCTAGAATGGCAAGAGGTTCATGCCCCTAGCACGTACTTCCTCCAAGCATCATTTACATTCATCAATTAATAAAGAGGTAATAGTAAGCGAGCTCTGCTAACTTGTCAATTGTTAATCCTATAATATGCGAGAGGCATAGCAGCATAAAACAGATCTAATTAAACAACATAATCGGATGGCTTATGTTCAATTGCTTGAAAATAAAATAAAAAAAAGTTTTTAGGTTTTCAATGCATTAGACGATATATTTGAGAATAGATTCTAATGGCTTCCAACCAGGACTGATTAAGTGTGTTTTATTAAAATTGATTTCAACCATAATTGTTTGTTTTGATTGAACTTATTTCTTTTGCTTCATTGGGCCGATATGAGTTTTCTTAATGTTCATCCTATCAATAAAATTATTATTATTGCAGTGTCAAATAAGCAAGAGTTTCATTATTACAAATGGATGCGAGCAAAAAAGTAGGCCCATGAAACTGATATTAGGATGAGATCTTGATATACAGGTACTCTCACAGATAGATTAATGAAATTAGTAGATATTATGATTCATAAGAAGATAAATATCTTATGTATTCAAGAAACTAATGAGTTGAAGAGAAAACTAAGAAAATTGATAGATTGTGTTTTAAATTTTGGTATTCAGGTAGGAGTAGCACTAGAAATAGTGTAGGTGTAATTACAGATAAAGTTTGAAAGATAATGTTGTAAAATTTAATAAAACTAGAGATAGACCTATAGCCCTAAATATTATTGTCGATACTAAATTTTTAATGCTATAAGTGTTTATGCTCCTCAAGCAGGTTTAGATACAAGTTCAAAAGAAAAATTTTGGAATGACCTAGAAGAATTAATACAAATGATACCACTTCAAGAAAGATTTTTTATTGGAGAAAATTTAAATAGACATGTCGGTAGAGTGATAATAGATTTTAGAAATATTCATGGTGACTATAGCTTTTGAGAGATTAACGAAAAAAATAGAATTATATTAAATTTTGCTTTAGCGCATGATTTCATTATTATTTATTCTTTATTTAAAAAAAGAGATGAACATATTATTACTTATAAGAATGGATCTAATAAAACATAAATTGATTATTTTCTTACGAGAAAAAAAAGATCATCTAGAATGTACAGATTCTAAGATCATTTCCTAATTACTGAACATCAATTATTAGTTCTGCATTTTAAGATAAAGAAATATAAGATACACAATACAATGAAATATTGTCATAGAATTAAATGGAGGCACCGAAAAAACACAAATAAGAATATCTTTTATGAGTTAACTTCAAAATTTTAAGATTTGGGATGTCCACAAAAAAGCTAATTCTATGTGATATATGTAACAAATATTATTAAACAAGTATAAAAAAGATGTTCTTAGATAATCAAAAGTAAGTTTTTATAAATAAAAATAGTTGGCAGTGGAATAATAATGTGCAATAAAAGATAAAATATAAGTTGTGTATAAAAAATAGTTTAAATGTAAAAGCTTAGAGAACTTGGAAAAAAATAGAAGGTGACCCGTATGGAGTCTAAGAGAACATGTGTAATGCTCAAAATTCTGTTTTTAGAGATATTTATAATAAACTAGATACTAAAAAGGGTGAAAAATATGTGTATAAACTATTCAAACAAAGAAAAAAGAGAAGTAAAGATTTAATTCAAGTGTATTAAAGATGAAAATCAAAAAACATTTTTCTTAGACAAAGATATTCAACATAAGTGGGTGAGCTATTTTGATAAACTTTTCAATGAAGTTTCCAAAATACGATCGACCTTTGTTACCTTAGTATCATTAATAATAAAAAAAAACATTTTAATTTTACCGTTGCACTAGTAAAAAAGAAGTTGAAGAGGTTTCTAAGAAAAATAAGGTGAAAAATCAGTGATGATATCCCACTTGAAGTATAAAAATATGTAAGAGATTTGAGAGTTCCTTGGCTTACTAAAACTCTTAATACTATTTTAAAAACTAAAAAGATGTCTGAAAAGCGGAAGAAGAGTATTTGGTCCCCATTTTTAAGAATAAATGGAATGAAAAAAATGTGCAAATTATAGAGGAATTAAGTTGATGTGTCATACCTTAAAATTATGGTAGAAGTAAATTGAACATAGGTTAAGGCGTGATACAAATATTTTTCATAATTAGTTTGAATTTCTGTCAGGCGGGTCCACTATGAAAGCTATATATTTATTGAGAGGTTTGATGGAGAAGTATAGAGAGAGTAAAAAGAATCTACATATGATTTTTATTGATTTAGAAAAAGTTTACGATAAGATTCCAAGAGAAGTCATTTGGAGAGTTCTAGAGAAGAAAGGTTTTGATATGACTTATATTCAAGTCATTAAAGATATATAAACTAGAGTTATTATTTATATTCGAATAAGAGGAGGATTGACTAAGTATTTTTCCATTTCGGTTGGATTATATCAGGAATTGACTTTAAGCTCATATCTTTTTTGTTTTAGTTATGGATGCTCTTACTAGACATTTAAGGAGGATGTATCTTTATGTATGCTTTCATTGATGATATCCTTCTTGTGGATAAGACTAGCGAAAGAGTTCAGCAAAACTTGAATTACGAATGTCTAAATTGGAGTCTAAAGGCCTTCGTTTGAGTAGATCTAAAATTGAATACAAAGAATGCAATTTTAGTAGTAGTAGCTCTAGCGGCAGAGTTGTAACTATGGTTGATCAAATCATTAAAATATCTGAACATTTTATATATCTTAAGCATATTGTTCAAAGTGATTGTGCTATAAATAGGGATGCTATCAGTAGAATTCAAGTTCGTTGGTTAAAGTTGAGGAAAGCATCGGGTCTATTGTATGATAGAAAAGTACTACTTAGACTTGAAAGAACAATTTTATAAGATGGTGGTGAGACCTGCAATGCTCTATGGCGCAGAACGTTTGCCTTTAAAAGATAAGCATAAAATAAAGTTAAATGTTGTTGAGATGTGAATGCTTAGGTGGATGAGTGGCTTGATGCTAAAAGACAAAATGGGAAATAAATATATTTGTGATAAGGTTGGTGTAGCTTCAGTGATGGACAAGATTAAAGAGAGTCGTCTTAGATGGTTTGGTCACATTAAATGCCGATCATCTGATGATCTGATTAGAAGAGAAGATGTTTTAGATTCGACTTATGTTAAGAAAGACAGAGGTAGACCTAGGGTGACTTGGGCATAATGTTTGGGCATATTTTATAAAAAATGATCTTAATCTATTACAACTAAATGCAAATATGACACTCAATAGGACGCAGTGGAGAAAAGGGATTCAGGCAGCCAACCCAAGTTAGTGGGATAAAGGTTTGTTGTTGTTGTTGTTGTTATTGTTGTTGTTGTAGATCTAGCAGTATTAAGAAAATAAAAATGAAATCAATTATTATACTAATTTGAAATTTTCTTATAATGGTTAAATTTAGATAGAAAAACTAAAAGTAAATTCTGAACTAACATAATTGAAACTCACTTCTCAACTACTAGAAGTTAGGTACCAAAAACTGAAACTAAATTTTATCAATGTTCTCTAAAGCAACGCAATTACTAAATTCCAGAACTGAGTTTCCGCCATATCCAAATATTTACGTTAAAAAAACCCGCCCTAAGCTCATCTTCCATTGCTAAAAATTCACCCCATTACTAAATCACTTCTATACAGCCCGCATCCACAATGCTCAAACAAAGTACACATACCGTCATCAACCGCAATCAATCAAAGCTCCTAACTAGTACCTTTCACATAAAATTCATCATCCACGTCGACAGATGTGAAGGTACACATCAATGCCGCAGGTCAGTTGGGATCCCCTAATACCAAATTCCGTCCAGAGATTAAAGATTTAAGACAAAGTGCAAACAGATGTTCAAGAAAAACCATCCAAAAACCCTAATCAGGGTAAGTACCATCGATCTCTCAGTAGAAAATGAGAAAAACAGTTTAAGAAAACGGTCCCCTATGCTGAGGCAAAAGAACAAATACGATCCGACAAACGGAAGGGGCGCCTTGAAACAGGTCAACTCTATAGCAAAAAAGCTGTAAGAAATCGAGCAGTCTACAAGAAAAAAAAGAGCTTACGAGCTGAAGACGATCTGAGGAGAATCCGGGCAAAGCGGAAAGAAAATTTTCGATTTTCCCCACGAATGTAAAGAAGAACAACGCGCACTCGAGAGATGGCTGAGCAGATCAAAGACACGGTCTCTTCTAATCCATCGTCTCGCCTCCAATTTCTGAATTTTAATTTTCAATATTTACAAATTAATGATTTTTAAATAAAAAATAACAATTTTCTGACAAGCATCTTTATCTCCCCCGCAGAGCCACTCGGCCCACAAAGTAGCCGACACAGCACTTCTACAAATAGGCACGCGGCAAAAGATACCAAGTAAAATGCTATATTACGCAAAATCGCATGAATAAACACATAAAAAATCAAAATTGAATATATGAAACATTAACATTTTTATTAAAAATTCCAAAACAAAATTGTGATGCTTAGGCCTGATATGTTATCAAATTGTTCACATGATTAGTGTCAACCTCGATTCATTTTCGATAAGATAATTTTAATAATTTTAATTATGATCAAACTGAACGACTCTATAATATGAACCCAATGATTAATAAAAATGATTTTATTCGACTTCAAATAAATTTAAATTAAACAATTAAAACTCAATTAGAAGCTTCAATGCGTTAATTAAATAGTTGGATATTTTTTAAATTTTGCATACATATGGTTAAATCAAGTGTATCGATGAGATAAATTTAGTGAGCTCAAGTTCACTCATTTGTGATATTCATAAGACACTTAAATGTTGAGAGTGGTTATGATATGAGGAAGTAACATTGATCTCATGAAAAGTTTTAGGATGTCGGTTAAATTTATTAAAATATCAATATAAAAGATTATAAATAAAATTACATTCTATGTACAAAAGGAAAAAAAATAAGTTGAGATCATATTCTACACTCACAAACAAGAGACCAATGGGCACAAAAAAACGTCAACTATGACCAACAGCTATTATAGCTCAACTCGTCATACAGGGGGTTTTTTTTTTGGCATATTATCCTCATGTTGTTGTTGCTTAATTATTATTATTAATTTTGTTGTCTGACAACCCTTATTATAAAAGCATAAGAATAAGTGATTATTTTCTTATATTCTCATCTCTTCTATTTGAGTAAAATAAAGGAATTCTGTAACATATATTAAAAAGTGGATTATTTCTGAGTTAAGCCTCGTGATTTTCATGCTATTTAGATTTTTCACATAAAAATCCTCACATTAATTTAATAGATGATAGTAATAAAAGTAGTAGTATTGTGTTTTCTTCTTTTTCTTCTTTAAACACTCTAAGTTGGAATCACAAACAAAACAATGGATTGAAAGATCAAATGATGGAATTGACTAGGGAAACAATTGCTTACATAGCAGCATTGCCACCACGAGTAGCTCCACCACAGTGAAGAGAAGAACTTGCCACTAAAGCTAGGACTCCCTCACCTGCTCTGGTACCAAGGATGATAAATTATCCAAGTAATGCAGGTTTGAATCCATCCAATTGCAATAAGAAAAGCATGGTTGGAAATCTCATATCTTTTGGGTTGTTTCTTTTCTTAATTCTATTAGTTCTTCCCTTAAAAAAACTCATATATTCTCAAATTAGTGTTATTTAAAATATATTTACTAACCCGGAATATCTTTAAATTCAATTTTAATGGATTTAACCAAATTAATATTACTTTTTTTTTTTCCTTTGAAGATAATCTTAAAGGAAGTTCATTAAAGCATCATGAAAAACTCTATCATTTAAGTCCCACTAAACATCCTTCTAATTCTTTTTTTCTTGAATATTTTTGTTGTGCAACCTTAAACTTCTTTTCAAAGCTTTTCAATTTTTTGAATTTTGTCTTTTTCTTTTGTTTTTTCTTTTCTCTTTTTTTTTTTTTGAGAAATACTATATTTAGTTGACCTATATTTAGTTGACAACTTTTTCTTTTTCTAATGTTAAATATGATGAAGGGCAGTTTCCTTAAGCAATAAATTTCAACATTGATAGTTTAGTGCCACCCCTTTAGGTTATCTTATTTGTTAAACATTAAGACAACACTAGATTGGTCAAAAATAAACTCAAAAAAAAATTGAGAACATTTTTGGTTTGCTTTTTAATATTTAAATTACACCCCATTTAATAATCTATAGATTTCTGTAAGTAAAGATCGAAGGTGTTAAATTTTGAAATCTTATTATTAAATCATTAAATCTAATCATTCCTAAATGACTGTTATCCTTTTTTAAAAGATTTTTAATAAATAATTTGAATAAATTAGAATTTCTAGCAGAAGTTTCAATGTGAATATTGAATCTTTTACTGAGCTATTAAACTGCTTTTAGGGTTTGTAAAATGGTACAATTTTCTCCCCCAAACTTGTTTTTTTTAACATATGAATAACATAAAGTGACGATAAATTAAAAAGAAATTAAATGCAGAAAAAATTGTATGCAGTAGTGGTCACATGAATCTCAGAAAATAAGAATGTGAAATATGTAAGAATGCATAAATCACTCTGTGGAGAGACAAGACTTAAAACTAATTCCAATTAAAATTTAAAACAATTTCAAAGTAAAATTCAAAGAAATTTAAAAAATAAATTCTGAAACAAATGCAAAAAAAAAACATACTCAACACAATAGATATAATTGGATTTCCTCCCAAGATAGTGATTGTTTTAACGTCTTCAGCTCGACGATGCCAGATTTACTCTTGGGACGATTCTAACACCATGATTTCTTTAAGACATTTCCTCTCTCCTCTTAAGTACTACTTCAACTTTTGTTCATTTTCTTTTAAAATACATTTGTTCTTCTGATCCTGAATATCAATAGCTCCGAAGGGGTACACTTTAATTACAGTTAATGACACCCTGATCACTTAGACTTTAGTTTTCCGAGAAATAGTTTCAATCAAGAATTGTACAACATAATCTACTGTCCAAGTTGAAATTATTTTCTAATAAATTTCTGACATACCTCATTTTTATTTTCTCTTTATAGATGTTGACAGTCTTGGAAGTTTCATGTCTTATCACTTCTAATTCATTCAATTGTATCAATCTTTGCTTTGCCACATCTTTTAAATTAAAGTTCAATTTTTTTAATTGCCTAATAGGTTTTATGTTCTAATTCCACTGACAAATGACAAGTTTTCCAAAAAGCATCCTATAAGGTGAGAAACTTAAGAGCATCTTAAATGTTGTTTGATAGCCCACAATGCTTCATCCAACTTAAGGGACCAATCCTTTCTACTGGGTCAACTATTTTTTTTCTAAGATTCTCTTAGTTTCCCTATTAGAGACCTTAGCTAACCCATGGGTTGGAGGGTAGTAAGTAGTTGAACTTTATGAGTGATTCCAAACTTAGCTACTAATGTCTTCATCTTTTTATTACAAAAATGACTGCCTTCTTCACTAATGATTACTCTTGGTATTTCAAATTGAATGAAATATATAATTTTTAAAATTTCAAAACAATTTGAATTTCACAATTAGACAGTGTCACAGCTTCAATCCACTTTGAGACATAGTTTACTGCTACCAAGATATAAGTATTCCTTAGAGATGGTATGAACGGTCTCATGAAGTCTTTTCCCCGAACATCAAAGATTTCCACTTCCAAATTAACATTTAAGGGTGTTGCATCTCTTAGAAATGTTACATACAAGCTGATATCTATTGCAAGATTTAACAAATTCATTCGCATCCTTAAACAGGGTGGGTAGACCAATAGAATTCAGATGCAAAATCTTAGTATCAATTCTAAAACTTCCAAAATTCTCTCCCGATTCAGAAGCATGACAACATTTAATAATATCGTCGACCTCTTTCGATAGTACACACCTTAAAAGAATTTGGTCCTGACATCTTCTAAAAATATAGGGATCATCCCAAAAGTAGAATCTGGCCACCTCAAAAAAGAACTTCTTTATTTGGTGGTAGTTCCGACCAAAAAGGACGATCCTGCTGATAATGAAGTTCGCTATGTCAGCGTAACAAGGACTGTATTTATTAGAAATGCCTAGAAGTTTTTTGTCCAAAAAATTCTCATTTATGTTAATCAGCCACTCCTAAGAATCCCTCTAGACAAATGATCGGCTACCTAGTTTTCTTTGCCTTTCCGGCCAATAATCTCTATATCAAATTCTTGTAATAGAAAGACCCATCGAGTCAAGCGAGGCATAACATTCTTTTTAGCTACAAGATATCTGATAGCAGCATGATTGGTGTACACCGTGACTCATGTGCATCTTCAGTAGACATCTTGTACTTCTCAAGGATCTCAGCTTCTACGAATGCCACCTGATTGAAATAAGAAGTAATAAACATGGTCAAAAGTAGTGGAGATAAGTGTTTGTCACGAGCGTCAAACATAACAAGATAATTATAGTTAAACCCCTTTTTATAGGGTAAATGCCATAATTATCTCGAGTATAAGTAAAAAAACAGATTTATATAATCATATTTAATAAAGTAATCAAGCCATTGCTCAAATCTAATCACCAGAATTAGATCATTTATTCAATCAAGAGATAACATTAATTGCATATGACTCAATTCAAGTAAAGCCTCCAAATATAGATAGGTAAAATGAACCAAGTTACGAAGAAAATCAATTCTACACATGGATCTGAAATAATCTCTACTATGATTCAACTTGATTGAACGAGTCATTTTAACAGGAAGTCTCCTCCAACTTTGAACTAGCCTAAATAGTTGGATTCAAAGAGGTCTTGAAGCACCAATAACATGTCCTTCAGGAAACCCAATTTTTTTCCAAGTTATCAGTAGATCTTATCCACTTGGTAACCTATCACTTCAACTTGGCTACTTTTTGTACTAATTCAGTCAACTTCAAACTAATATAACTTCGAGAGGTTGTGGCAACATATTCTCTATACCATGAAGGCGAGAAGTAACTACCACTACAACATGGTCCTCCTAACCCTCATTCGCACCTCCACTTCACTTCTATCTCTTGTGACCAAATGTACCTCTTGAGAAGATTGCTAATAGGTCTTACCCTCGAGAGCATCCTGCACCGTATTCAAGTTCAGCCAATTAATATTCTCTATGCAAGAATCGAAGTAAGAAATCTTGCTATAAGTAACATACACTACCAGCAAACAAGAAAATTTAAAAATAACATAATATGAATTCTCTTAAGTTTTACATAACATATAAGATTTTTTCATATATCATTTGACCACACTCATGCTAAAGCTGTAAAATTATAAAAAT